CCCCCAAACTTAACTCCCAACCAATGTGGGACTTTGGCATTTTGCCAAACTTCAACAAAAGGAGGAAAATTCCTGAACACACATTAAGTAAAATTTCTCACTATAAATAGCTAGCCGCCTAGCCCTCTCTTTAATTAGTACTACAAGTTGTAAAAATACACTACCAAAACTACTCTCTATTTTAGGGTTCTTACATCTTACAGTTTTAGAAAGAACAAAAAAACATATACAGTTTTAGAAAAACACATGCGCTATGGATCTTGGAGAAAATTCTCGTAGTTTTTCTGTTCCTATCTGGGCTTCATTTCATAGGAAGAGAAAACTCCACAAACTAAGAAAGTGTGTGACCTTTCATATATACTCTCTTTCTCTCTGGGTCTTTTTGCTTATTAACTTTGCTTTTCATTTTTTTTTTTTTTTTGGTTTTATCTATTTTTCAGAAATCTCATAGGGTTGTCAATTATTTAATCTGAAGCACGCGTCTTCTCTGGATTAACTGTATAGAGTAGAAACTGATCATTATTTCATTCGTCCATTTCTGCTTAATTACTCTTCTAATTATACTTCATTTTTGGACTTTGAACAGGTCTATTATGGCTGTGCGAGTCGTGCGTTTACTAAAGTCAATGAGGGGGCTATGCGTTGATCCAGCTGTGAGTACCATCACTAATTATATGAGTAGTATATTATATGGTTTCTTTACTGAGTGTAAATTTATATAATCATATGTTACTTGTTAGATAACTACGTACATGTTACTTTTGAACTTAAATCCTTGTTTTATATATACGCCAGCTAATTTTTTTTATTTTATTTGTGCCTTAGGTTGATACAAATTAAAATATGGTTTATAATTTCCTGAACTTTTTAAGGTGCCTTTTCACACAGTATTTTCTCTTTCTTTTAGTATATTACTATATATTAATTTTGGGTTAGGATTGTTAGATTGTAGTTGGGTGGTTATTGATTGATCAGTTGTCAAGAAGGGAGCATAGGATCTTAGGAACCTAACAACCCTTGTGATTAATGTGAAAAACAAAAGCTTATAGGTAGAAAATCAACATTTTAAACGTATATACTAAATCGAGTAACATTTTAAATAATTTACTAAATGGAAAAAGCTTTCGCTGTCCTTTCCTGGATCGGTTTGTCCTATCAATTATGGATTGTCTGGGGGAAAGGACAGCCAAAGCTTTTTCCTCGGGGGCATTTTCTTTTTCTTTTCCTGCGGTCAAAAATAAATTTGTCAATGTTTTGTTTCTTTTGAAAAAAATATTGTACTTTGATTCAGATTTTCTCTTATAGATGATAGTATTTACATGTTGAGAATTTATATTGAGATTAATAAGATTTTTAATTCAGTTTCGGAATCTTTAAATTTCATTTTTTAAGAGAGAACTAATACTATAATCTATCTCTCGCTTCCCTCTAACAAATAAGCAACTAATGGGAGCTAAAAGGAGAGAATTAAGTAGAGATTTTAGAAAGTAAGTAGAATTTAGAGCAAATTCCACACAAAGTCAAAGTAATGTGTTGTTCCTTTACTGCAACTTGTTGTTATGCTGAAAAATCTTTGACCAGGAATCTTTCTTTTCTTTTTCTTTTTTTGGGTCAGAGGTCGTTTAATTGGTAATGACTTCTTTTACAGCAACTACTTAGATCTTTTATTTCAACCTCAACCAAAGTTACAAGGGATACTATTAATGCTTCATCCCAAAATGCTCACGTTTATTTCAGCTAATAGTGCCCTAATGGCTCAGAGAGTGACCTTCGAATTGTTAACTACGGGAACTTCCACGACATAATTTACCTAATGTGTACAAAACTACAAATTGGTTCTTTTACTCCTTTTTAACCTTCTTAAATTTGGTTTACTCCGTCGGATCAGTAGTTTCTAATGTTAATCTCTCTCTTGTGTGGATGGTCATCTGATTTACTAATCTTTGATTTTATGGCTTCTCTTCATTTCGAGATGTTGAAAATTAATTTTAATTAGGACGCTGTGCCCTAGATTATTTGATATAAGGAAATAACTAATTATCTACACTAATAATATAAGATGTTTTACAGTAACATATTGTAGTTTAACCTAAACATATTGTAGTTTAACCTATTATAGCATGTAATTATTATGTTGCCAATTTCATTTTTATGAACGATTATTTGTAATTTATCTTTTAAAAAATCTAATAATTTAAATATTCCTTTATATACACCGTCTATATAGTGAAATTAAACTCTTGACATAAAGACTTTTACGATGGTCATCTAATTAAGTTCTTTGTGCAACTACAGGCTGCAGGAGTTGAATCGGGACCCGTAGAGATGTCAATCGGACCAAGGCAATGATAAGCGTCTCTTTTTATATTTCATAGTTATTTACTGTACCTTTACTTATTTTATTTTTTATATCTATCCGTATGATATTGAGACTTGTACATCTTATTCAGGAAAGCGCGGGAAAACTTAAATCCTTCTGATCAGTCGTATGAATCACGAAGTTTAGAATTAAAGTTTTCAAACAACATAAACGGTCCAATTTTTACTGGAATCCCCATAGGTGAAGAGGGCAGCACCTTAAATCTACATCTAATCGATCCCCGTACTCAGAATATCATCAATTCTGGGCCTGAATCATCAGCAAAAGTGGAAATAGTAGTCCTTGAGAAAGATTTTACAAGTTGTAGTGGTGACAAATCGCTGATACGGGGAGATCCTCATGTCACCTTGAAAGATGGAAGTGTTTCTGTAAGTCATATTTCATTCAAACATACCAGAGTGCCTATGAGAAAACGTGAGTTGAGACTAGGTGCAAGAGCTGTGTATCCTTACAATGGAACAAGAATTACGCAAGCAGTCACACAACCATTCTTTGTGAAGGATCGTCGGTCTAGTACGTATTTATTAATTCCTTTTCAATCATATTATTGGTTTGTTTTTCCTTTAAGATTTCCCTGATTTTATTTCATTGAGCTTAATTTGGATGCCAATATGCTAGCCTGCTAGGTAATTACATATGTTTAATAAGTCCTGTAATGAATTTGTGTATCAATTATTGTTTGTCTAAGTGGGTCATGGGGTTCAGATTTTTTATGATCAATGGCCCCATTGGAGGGCGAGCTAATGAGAAAAGGTCATGGGGCAAGCATATATATATATATATATATATA